TTAAAAATGAGAAGAGTAGGACCACAGCATGCTAGGCAGCCTCAGGCCCATCCCTTCAGTTGCTTGAAGGAGGGGAAAAGTTCGGGGCCTTCCAATCCTGACCCTTGAGCAGAGTCACCTGGAGTCCTTGTTAAAACATATGCCCATGCCTACTGAACCAGAGTGCCTGGTGAGGGCATCGGAGTCTGGGATAAAAACCGGCAGCTGACCCCGCTCCAGCTCCCACAGGCCTGCTGGCTGCGCACTTGGGGTGCTCCCAAGAGAGCTGTGCTTCAGGGTGCCCAGCAGTGTGGGTGCCCCATGGCATCTGCCTCCCTCCTCCCTCAGAGGGTTGAGCTCCCAAAGCCAGGCTGCAAGAAACAGATGAGAGAGACTGGGAGCTCCTCAGTGAGGAAATTCCCAGAGGGCTAGGGCTGTGGGTGAGGAAGCTGAGTCTTTAAGTCTTAGACACAAGATAGCTGATTTGGTGGCCTTGGCCATGGGAATGCCTGGGATTCGGGCAGGGCTGGTGTGTGGGAGCAGACAGGGGAGAGGCTGGGAGAAACAGGCAGGTGGGGCCACTGTATAGAACCTCCCAGCCACCCCCACCTGTGCTGAGGCTGGACCTCTCTGCTTCCCCAGGCCTGCCCTTCACTGTCCAGCCACCCCTGCCCCAGATGCTTCTCACTGGCTTGAATATGGTCCCCCTTTGTTCCCTCCCTGACTCTGGGCCACACCCTTCCAGGGCCTTTGGTGATCCAGCTTGTTAGCTCATGAGAGGTGGGTACATAGCACCTGTTTCTGGGGGACTCTTTGTGTCCCTGTGTAGTCCTCTACTGCCCCAGTCACAGGGACCTCAGGAAGTCACATCCTTCCTAGGGCCTCAGTTTCCTCATCCGCAAAACCAGGGTGCTGGGAACAACCCCTTACCACCTGTTCTCCACCAGAATACCCTGACATGATCATTCCTGGGTCAGGGGAGGGAGCAGAGCTGAGAGGACAGTGCCTCCCCCTCTAGTGTGACATACTCAGCTAATCCTTTCCAGGCAGTGGTTCTCCACCTGGCTGACTATTAACTGGCTAAGTGCCTTTATACATACTGACACCCTCCTGCCCCTGTGCCACTGAGACCAGAACCACCCAGGGGAGCAGGTGGCACTGCAGTTAAGACCTTTGATTCAGGAGCATAATCAGGGCTAATTCTTCTTACTCTCAGGTGCTCTCCACACAGATTGCCCTAGATGGCTCACACTAGCCCTTTGTGAGTATACTAGTAGGTTCAGTCACCCCCTTTCTGCCACTGAGCTGGGGCTAAAGTGACTTTGCCTCCAAGGTGCAGCTGGCAGCTACAGTTGGCACCTCCTACTGACAGGATACCATCCTCACTAGGAAAAAAGACTTTGGGAAGCTGGGACTCTCACACTGTACTTGGGCCTGAGAAGCATGATGCTGTCAGTTGCAAGGTTCTTGGGGTTCCCAGGAAGCCCCCCAAAGAGCCCCTGACAGTGATGTCTCTACTGGCAAAGCCCCCCCAGTCCTGGGCTATGTGTGACTGCAGTGGCAGGCTGTGTCCACCAGAGGGCGCCCTGGCCCAGCACTGCTCAGCTGGACTCGGCTGAGCAGGCCAAGTGCTTTTTAATTGAAAATTTTTTTAATTCAAAAAGGATTTGCTGTTTGTACGCGAGTGCAGGTTTTTCTTATGCAGGAGACTAATGTCTTGAGTAAACAGATCCCGGTCCAAATCCACCTTCAAAGGTACTCAATGTTTGCCCAAGGGAGTGAAAGGGCTTCCAGAAGCGGCCTAGTCTCTTGGGCAAACATGGCAGGGAGGAGCAATGGGGCAGAGGACAGCGTCTGCGGGAAGGGTTAGGCAGCCGGAGGGGGATTATGTCTGAGGACATATGTTGAAATTTCATTTGGGGAGTTAGAGAAAACAAGGGGGAGGGTAGTGCTTTTCTCCAGCCAAGATAACCTAAAAAGGGAAAAAATCCCCAGGGAGAGAGGGGTGGGAGGGGACAGCAATCTGCACACCCCGGGTGGGGGCGAGGGTCAGTGTGCTTGGGTCAGGAGAGGGAAGTGTGCAGTGGTGACTTCTTCTTGCCCTGGAGTGCAGTGGAATAGGAATTTAGCAGTTCATCCTGAAGGCCCGCCCATGCCCCCTCCCTGTGACTCTGTGACTAGAACAGAGACACAGGGTCCCCATCACAGCACTTCTGCCTAGTCAGTCAGTTGCTCACTCAGGCTTGGAAATTTCCTGCTCCTCCACCTACCAGCTGAAAAGTCCAGCCCTGTGGGCATCCAGAGTTTGGTCATCAACTTCCTTTGATTGACCTGTGGCCTAACCACCCCTTGCTCCCTGCCACCCCCAGGAGCCTGGTACAGTGGTTTAGCAAGGCCTGGGACAGGGGCGGAGGGTACAGCCAGACCATCTGTCCTACAGTTGCCTGCTCCTGCCAGGTCCTGGCCCTGGGCCACCTCCTTTCCTCTCTTGAGTGTGTTGCTTCACTCTGATGCCTGCCCCTCTCTGCCCACTCTATCCACATGCATGGATAGGGTCATGGAATTGTCTAAACAGGTCCCCAAACCAGCAGTATCATATCAGCTGGGAGCTCTTTGGAAATGCAGATCTCGGGCCCTACCCTAGACCTGCTGAATCAGGATCTGCATTTTCCCAGGACCCCCAAGGGGGGATGCTAAGGTAGACAAGCCTGCTATATCTTGTGCCCTGGATGCCACCCTCTCCTGCCCCTGGAAAGGGTCCACACCCACCCTTGGGCAGCTTTCTCTGGAAACTTGGTCCACCAGAGCAGCTCCTGCTGAAGTCACCAAGCATTACCAGCACAGACAGCCTCAGGGGGCAGGCTCCCCCACCTCATGCCTCTAGTCCTTCACCCCGAGGCTGCAGCCTTATCCTCTTAACCTTCTGACTCCGTGGGCTGTTCTTGAATCTCCCCCACTCAGCAGCCCCACCACCACCACGTGTGCAGTTCTCCCCACCTTCATCCCAGGTTCTTTGCTGCCCTTGAGTTCTCTCCCAACCCTGGGCTGAAGGCCTCACTGTGCACACATGGTTCCTTGGGAACAGCCGCCCCAGGCCTCCACCTCGACCCCTCAGTCTCACAGGAGTTTGCACAGTCACTGTCCCCTGCACCCGCTGTTCTCAGTGCCATCCTCTGCTTTCTGGATGTGGAGGACGTGACCTACCCTCAGCCCTCCTTGCTCCCTCCTGCAGCCCCCACCCCATTCAGTGCTGGGCGTGTCCGTGTCCCTCCCCGGTTACCCTACAAGCCCTGGACACAGCATAGGGCGGATATTGGTGGGTGCTGCTGAAGCCCACCAAGGACCAGCTGGTGCCTGCAGTGCACATACCCGAGCAGCCGCCAGGTGGCAGCATCCTCCTGGCCTTGGCCCCAGGAGAACCCGGTGGCAGGATGAGCTCACTAAGGCCCAGAGGGTCCTGCCTTGCTCTCTCCACCCTGTCTGGCAGCAGATGCTGTCTGTCTAGGGCCACGCTGTATTGTCAGCATCTCCCGGACCCTTTAGCTCTGGGACCACCAGGTTCTGCTTAGCCCTTTTCACAAATGGCCAGGGCAGCCTCAGCCCCAGCCTGGACTGTGTCTGTGAGTTGTTGTGGGTCAGCCCTTCATGCAGGGGTGCTGTGGACACAGTGCTGGGTTTGGCAGTACTGGCTGTCACCACCTCCTACTGTCTTTCCACTTTAAGAGAGGAAAAGGCTTCAAAGCCCTGCTGTGTCCCTTCATTCTCCAGTGGCTTTTGGTCCCACTCTGCCCCAGAAGGCCCCTGGGTCCCTCCTTTCTCAGTGTGGTCCTGGGAGTGCTCCCTGCCATGGGCTCCTGCTCTGGGTGGGTGGGGAGGGTAAGCAAGGGCACAGGGACTCCAGGGCCCTGCCTGTAGCCAGCCATGCTCGATCTCCAGCTGGCAGTCTAACCAACCACCTTCCTGGCAGCCTCCCATCCTGTCCACCCTGCTTGCCTATCCCTGAAAGGGCTGCATCTTGTGGTGGCCGAGTTGAACTAGGCAGCTCTGGAGAGCCCTTTCCTGGCATTTCTACCACTAAAGGTTCTTTAAGTACTTACAGTGTTTGACAGCCACTGACATAATCTCAGCTCCTCATTCCTGAAACCAGGGTGAGCACTGGGTTACCTTGGTCTAGTGTTCCAAGCCATCCCCACACCCCAGCCTACCAGACTCTACAGTGACCACTGTGCCTGCCCTCTGCCACACACAGGCCTTGCGTTTGGGTGTTGAGAACCCAGCAGGCTCCCAGTGCCCAGCAGAGGTGCTCATCCCTCCTCTAAACTCCCATCACACTTGGAACTCATGCCCATGATCCAGAGCCAGCTAGGTGAGCTGGATCTCTAGCATAAGGCTTAAGGCCTTACAGGGCAGAGGACAGGTCCCCTCTCAACAGCCACCTGGTCCAGCTGTGTGGACTGCACAGGGGTCCTCATCAATGAGGCTAGGGAGTGGCTCTTGAGAATCCTGTTAGGGAAACATGTGAAGGGCATGGGCCATGTCAGAGGTGGCCCCTCCCAGGGTCCTTGGGTCACCACACATTATCATCAGGCTGAGGCCCAGCAGGGGGTTCTCAGAAGCTAGTGGCCATGGCTGGCCTTGCTCAGGTTTGGGGTTGAGTCTCAGAGCCACTCCTTATTAGCAGGACACAAAGAACAAGGCTCTCAGCACTGGCCTGGCAAGCGACACCTCCTAAGTGTTTACTGTGGTGCCGTAGGCCTCGCCTTGTGGGGAGCTAGTGCCAGCACAGGAGCCTGTCGTCCCCAGAGCCACATCTGCACACGTGCACACACCCCATGTGCACCCACACCATAGGCACAGAGCAGGCTCCACTGGCACCAGCCCAGCCAGTGGCTCTATGTTCAGGTGCTCAGTGAGGTGGCCTTGGGGCCTCTGCCTGCTCTTGGTGTAAGGCCAGGGAGCGGCTTTCTCTGGCGTCCCATGAACTGACTATGTCTCTCTGTCCCCCCACCCCACCCCTACAGTATGAGTACAGCTTCCGCACAGAGCAGAGTGCCGCCGCCCGGCTCCCGCCGAGCCCCACCAGGTGCCAGCAGATCCCTCAGTCCTGAGGAGCCAGCAGCAGCCGCCGTGTGGAGCAGACGCCACCCCTGACTACTGACTGGGCGCTGGGGCTGTGAGGTGCTCCCCTCCTCACCCATCCCTCTGCTTCCTCCCACCGCGGCCAGCCCTTTCCTTGCTGCCCAAGGGTGGCCAGAGACACTGGGCAGATGAGTGGACACTCTCTGTCATCAGCTCACCTAACATGACACCCCACCCTCCCTGGGGACATTGTTCATAACCACGACTAATCTGTGTGTGCTGTAGTGACCAGCAGCTCCTAACATGTCTGTGTGGTGGCCAGTTGTCCTATAAAAGCCTCACCCACCACAATCACCCCCAGGGCCCTGGGCAGTTGCTCCGCTACCCAGTGATACCTGTTGGTTCCCTATGCTCATGTGACCTCCCGTGGCAGACACCACTCAGCCTGGAAGACGCTGGGGGCTGGCATTTTACATAGGACTGCCCCCCCAGGGCTCGCTGACTATCCCCGATCAAGGCTGCAGAGGAACAAGTCCCTCTCACCACTGAACCAGGTGCCCCGAGCGTTTCAAAGCAACCCTGTGAAAATATGGCGGGAAGAAGTCGGTGGGCCCTGGTATGGACCCTGACCCCCACTTTGGACATCCCATGGACTCGTCCCCCACCATGTGGAACATCAGGGGACAGAGGGGGTGCTGTTTTCTGGGGAGGAGGCAGAGTGACCAGAGTGCTGTGCTCATCCTCCGCCCCCCAAGGGCTTCTCTGAGGGACACCCACATGCCAACAACAGCTCCAGTTGCCTTGGCCCAGGGACCATAGGGTTTCGGGCACACGGGCACCCCGCCCCTCTCAGAGCCAAGCTGTGTCCGGGCAGCATCTGCTTTCAGAACAGTGGGAACAAGGTGTTCTGAAAAATCCCTCTGACCCAGGTCACTGAATTTGACTCAGAACTGACATTCCTCCACGAGTGCCCGTTGGTGCTGGCATCCCTCACAGCACCGGTGCTGAGTTCAACTCCACACACGTTTGCCGGGATAACAGTGGCTGGTGCCACCCAGGCTGCCTGGCCTTGCAGTGTCCACTCTTAGGGTTTACCTGGTTCCTCCAAGTGTGGGTGTCATATTCTTTGGGCATGGGGGCTTGATGTGGTTGAGGGGGGCATAGGTGCTGCTGCCTCCCCTGGGACAGACTCCCTGCTGCAGGTCCTGACTTGTGCCACACTAGTGGCCAGGGCTGAGGCCCAAAGGAATAAGGAGAAGAACCAGCCGACACAGCTGGCTGAGAGGCAGGGGCGAGATACCTCCCACCGCTGCGTCAGTCCCGGCGTCTCAGACTCCAGACCGGCTTGTCTGCAGCCACACCTTGGCCTCCATTTGGGCACTTCTCCCCACCTGAGATGACTAAGGGTGCCCCTGGTCGGGGGAGGCCCTCCCATGCCCCTCAGGCAGCAACATAGCAGGAAAAGGTGGTTCGTGGAATCTGTCAGGGTCCAGGAGACCCGTGGGGCCCAGGCGGACGTGCCCGTAAAGACCTGTGGACAGACACCATCTCCATCAACGTGAGCAGTGTATTTCTGAGAGTTGGGGAGCCCTGTGGAGCCCACAGAACCTGTGTCTACTGCTGCTTTTTGGATGGTGGCTAGTTCAAAATCAATGGCCTGCATGACAGAGCCGCACAGAGAGGGGTGATATCCAACAGTCTGAGGATGCGGGAAGGCAGAGGGCAGAGCTCTGGTCACTTCTGCCCCCTTCGTCTGGGTTCATGCACTTTGTCCTTTGACCTCTTTCCATGCCCTGATGATGAGAACATCTCTGACAGGTGATGCCCGATGGTCCTTCACTCTCCTCCCCTGGCTGGGAACAAGGCATTTCCACAGCTGCAATGGGCCCTAAAGGTATCCAGGTGACAGTGTGGGGCCCCTGGTCACAAATAGTGAGCGTGATTTCTGGGAAAGGAGCAGGGTGCCTTCAGCCCCCCACTGATGACCCCATAGGCCCCACTCCAGCTGGGCCTCCACCAGGTGGCCCCACACACCTTCCCAAAGCTGCTGGGATGGACAGGGCTGCAGGGCCATCAGGAAGGCAAACTGCATGGACTTGGGCCAGCTGGAGCCTTTTCCCCTAGTTAAGAGTAACATTGACTGTGAATGTTGTAGCAAATGGCAGCTTAAGACATTAAGCAGTGACAGTATTAAGGACAAGTTGGTATCTGTGGTAGGTTTTAGGCTGCTCCTAACCCCCCAGTTCTTGCCTTCTGAGAGGTGGGTAGGATGAGCACACGTGTGTGTGGTGTGTGTGTGTGTGTACACGCATGTGCACGCATGTGCTCACTTATGTGGGGCTTATACTGACCATGGGAGAACTGAGAAGTGGGGCTCCGGCTCCCACCTAGGAATTGAGTGACCTTTTGTGTCTTTTGAGAATGTTTCCTTTGCAAACCCTCTGGCTGCAGTGGGAGGGGAAGGACAGGGGTCTTCTGGAGAGGTGAAGGGCCTTGTCCTACCCCTCAGGTCCCCTGGCCCTTCTCACTGCTGCTGCTATCCCTCTGTCCCCCCTCAGAAAAACTCCAACCAGAGCACAGTGTCCCCACTGACCCCCCCCCCAAAAAGTCAAAGACTCTAAGGTCCTTGGAAATGGCACAGAGGCAGGGAGGAGCAGGCAGCTGGCTCCAGGCTCACGTGCAGATTTATAATCCAGCCCTGTTTGCCCACCCCAAGTCCAAAAACTGATGCCAGTCACATCCCCACCACTGGAGAGAAGAGAACCCAGTTGGGTCTCAGTAAAGAAATAACAGGACCATTAGACCCTCATCCACCCTTGCTTATTGGTGAGAGCGGTTCACTTCTTGGTGGCCATGCTCTTGTTAGAGAAGCCACTGGCACTGGTGGGAGCCCTGTGCAAGTCTGCAGGTCAGCGGGAGGACAAGAGAGACTAACACACTGAGCACCTGCTCCTGGCCAGGGACTAGGCCAGGCACTCTGAGCACACTCCTGTCATCCCCTCCCCCAAACAAAGTAACCCGGAAGTGGATGTTCTTTGCTCCTTGTTGCTGGTGGAAAGGCTGAGGCTTGTCCGTAGGCGCGAGGCTGCTGGGTGGCAGAGACAGGATTTGACCCCACAGAGGGGGCCATTCCATCATAAGCACAACCTCAGGCTGACCCTTTTGTTTCCAGCTTTGTGATGGACCTCCCGGCTGCCGCTAGGCCCTGCCGGTCACCGTGCCACTGTGCGAGAGCTGCCTGCTGGGGGGCCCCACAATGCCCAGGTGTGTGTGGGGAGTCCCAGCCTGCCACTCCCCTGAGAATGGGGAGGGGGGCTGAGCATGAAGGCAGAGCCAAGCCTTGGCAGAACCCCTGTGTGCCTCCGAGCCACACAGAAGTGGGGCTCAGTGAATTCCATTCTAGTCTACCTTGCCCCGGGGCGACTGTCCCTACTCAGGCTGCCTGGACCCTCAGGGCAGCCAGGCTTCTTCATCTGTTCTGAGCACATGTTTAGGGTGGCTTCAGCTATCACCACCATGGAATAGGGCTTTGTTCCTCCTGCAAAGGCCACTCGAGCTGCTGTGTGACCATGTCGCCTTGGACAAGGACCTTGGGGACATCATCCTGATTGCGTATTTATTCAAGGTGACTCTTGTACTTGGCAAAGGGAAGTTTCACTGTGTGACTGTCTGTATCTTAATATAATTTGTTAAATAAACATTTGTTTAACCTCTTTCCCTCCGTTTGCTGTTGTGTCCAAAGCCACCAGAGGTCAGTGTCCCTCAGGAGATACCCAAGCTGCTCTCCAGCCAGTAGGGTCCTTGATGAGCACTTGGTCACCTCCCTGGCCCGTCAGCCTTCTAGAAAGAGCTGGTGCTCTCCTTTGCTGTGTGAGTTGACTGCCTAGTTGTAAGTGAGGGGAGTTCAGGGAGGGACAGAAAGCACTGCTGTTCTCTGGCAGCCTGTGGGGCACTCCAGGGAAGAGATCTCGCTTGCCAGGACAGCCCGTGAAGCCAAATGTGAGGTGGCTCAAAGGGCAGGGAGGTGCCCTTGCTTTCCCCTCCCACTTGCCCCAAGCCTTTGTCTGCAGGGCCCAAGTGTGGCAGCTGTGAGGGCAGTGGAGACAGCCACAGCTAGAGGTGGTTCCAGTCCTGTCCTGACTGCTTATCTTTACCCCAGACATGGCTAGGGAAGCCACAGGGCCCAGGCCACAGCGTGGTCCTTGCGAGGAGCCAGCAGTTGGGGTCTCACCCTCAGAGCTCTCTGCCACCTTGGCAGGTCACTGCCTCCAGCCCTGCCAAACCAGAGTCTGGTGGGAAGAAGTGAGAATGGGGGCCACCCATAGCTCAGCACTCACCTCATGGGGACCAGGACGGTCCCCAAAGAGTGTCAGTGTCTCTAGCCCTGCCTTCTGCACTGTGGATGAGACAATCATTCCCCGGCCCCACCCTTGGGAGGTCTCAGGTCTCTCCCACAGTGGGAGCAGAGGGAAGGCCAGCCGGAGAGTTTCCTGGGAAACTGGGGCAAACCTACACGCAGCTCAAAGAAACGGGCTCTTGCCTGGCTTTGCCACTTCCTGACATGTATCTGTGCACACAGGCAGCTGCCCTATTTCAATGCCTTGCCCTGGGAAGATGGAGTGAGGACGCTGGCAGGACTTTTGGAATGTAGCAGAAACTGTGACATGTGGGTCTTTTCTTGGGGTCTGGACTATAAGTCACTATCCACACACTGAGTCTCCCCTACGTGCTGGGTCCGGAAATGCCAAGGGAGTACAGGTGGTGCCTCTGGCATGGAGAACACAGGCCTCCCACACCACCTGGGAAGGCAGACAGACTGATGCCCAGGGCCCTGAGGAGGCAGTTTGTACACAGCTCTTGCACCCGCCCAGGAGAGTCCCATGGACCCCAAAGCTGGTGCAGCTGAGCCAGAGAGGGGCCAGCCTGGCAGCACCCAGCCGGTCCCCCTCTGTCTTTCCCTGTCGCCTCCTCTGCCTGTGCTTGGGCAGACACTGTCTCATGCTCTGGCTCTGCTCACAAGCGTGGTACCGTCATGCACGTAGCCACTCAAGTTCACCCAGTCTCAGTTCAGAGACCCGATGCAGCTGTCTTGTGGCTCCTTATCCAGGGTCCAAGACAGACCGGTCAGTGGAGCTGGGTGACCCCATCCATTCCTAGTAGCTCCAGCCTAGGGTTGGGGGCGCATGTGTATACAAAGCATACGGAGCAGGTCCCCAAGGGTCAGGCTCCTGAGAGGCATCTGCTCCAGAGGGTGAGACTGTGCAGAATGCAGAGGACCCTCCCTTCGGTGAGAGATAGGGCACCCCACCAGCA